TCAAGGAACCATGGAGTCCACTCTTGAACCTAGAGAGGAAGAGGCTGATGGAGGAAAGAAGAGGAAGGAGAGAGTCAGAAAGACCATTGCCAGAGTCATTGGAAAACCGTCTATGATGAGAGATTCTGATGAAGAACAGGAGGAGGAAGAGCCAGTTGCCCCTCCACCAAAGACTCAAAAGATTATGGGGGATGCCATAAGGACTGGGGCTGCTCCATCTAAGCCCAAGTCTGCCCCTAAGCCTTCACCTCAAGCTCAAGCTCAAGCTCCAAAACCATCTGCACCAAAGAGATCCACCAGGAACATCCCTGCTGCTGAGAAGAACAAGGCCCCGGTGCCTGAAGTTCAAGAAGAAGAAGGGCAACAAGCGCTCAGAAAACTGAAGCCCAAGATTCCAGATCGTAGTGATGATCATCTTGTGGCAGAAAATATGAAGCTAAGGAATGATTCAGGTCTGAGACTCTGGAGATAGACTGATCCCTATGCCACTAGGAGGAGAACTGATGTAGACTATTGTTTCCACACCAATAAGCTCCAGGAAGAAGTTGAGGACAAGAATGGCAGACCTACCACAGATACTTTCTAGAGAGTGCCAAGGGCACAAATGTCTTCAGCAGTGCCAGTTGTCAGTGACACCAGCACCTGCAGCAACTGCCACGATTGCACCTCTAGTTTCAACTCCTCCAGCTCCACAGACCTCTGCCGAAGCTTTTGCAGATGGACTCCTCTCCACGCCATCTATGCACACCGGAGCAACCAGCCCGAAGACCCCTTCAGGACCTCACAGAGATCGTGCCTAGAGTGTCGTATAGCACTATGCATTTTCAAGTTTTTTGGTAACTTGTTGCCAAAGGGGGAGAAAGTGTATAGATCATTAGGCTTAGAGAGAGAGAGAGAGAGAGAAAGAGAGAGAGAGAGTGTGTGTGTGTGTGTGTGTGTGTGTGTGTGTGTGTGTGTTTTGCCTTTTGTTGGTTTTATTTGCCTCTCTTGCTACTTTGATCATTTGTTTGTTTGATTCATATGCTACTACTTGTGTTATGCTCATAAGATACTCCTGTGATCATGTGTTTGTTCATACTATGCCTTAATGTGTGCTTGCATGATGATATCTATGATATTTGTGTATGATCAATCATGTTTACCCTTGGTGATGAGTGCATGTTATTTAACTATTATCATTTTTTAGCGCTCCACCAAGATGTATGTGACATGGAAGAGTGACCCACGATCCTAATCGGTTGTGCATTTGCATTCAAAAGAAAATTTTAAATAACGCAAAAATTTAGGGGGAGCTCTTGCTTATCACATACTTCTCAAAGCAATGATGTATTTCATTCATATTATCATTTGTCAAAGCTTTGATCTATATGTTGTCATCAATTATCAAAAAGTGCAACTAATCCCCAGGTAGTTTTAGTAATTCATAACAACATATATCTCATTGAACTAATATTCATTCAAGTTGAGTATTTCAGATGATTGGCATGGCATGGATTAGAGATGTGGACCCCTCAAAATGCTAAGGACAAAGATTAGCAAAAGATCAAGCTTCTTCATTTTCATTTTAGTGATCCAAGATCATATTGAGTCTATAGGACAGCCAATACTATTAAAAGGGGATGAGGTGTTGCTTAATGGTCTACTTGCTCAAAGTGCTTAGTGATATTGCTCCAAAACCCTCATCCACTTTCTCATTTCCACATATGTCCAAAACCCAAAGTCAAACTTGGCCCCATCGATTTGATCTATCCGGCGCCACCGAATTCAGTTGACATAGCCACTGCCAGAAACCCTAGACAATTCGGTCACACCGATACGGATCTCGGTCTCACCGAGATGGCCTTGCAAACTCTTTGTTTCCCTTTGTAACATTTCGGTCTCACTGGAATGAGCACTCAGTCCCACCGAGTTTGCTTGACCAACTCTCTGTTTGCTCCTTGCTGAAATCGGTCTCACCAAGTTTAGGCAATCGGTCTCACCAAGATGAGGTTTTTCCCTAGCCCTAGCACATCAGTTCCACCGAGTTGATCCAGTCGGTCCCACCGAGATTCCTAACGTTCACATTTTGAACTAAATCGGTCTCACCGAGTTCTTCTATTCGGTCTCACCGAGTTGGGTTAAATGTGTGTAACTGTTGGATTTTTGTGGAGGCTATATATACCCCTCCACCCCCTTCTCCATTTGTGAGATAGCCATCAGAATGTGCCTACACTTCCACTATTCATTTTCTGAGAGAGAACCACCTACTCATGTGTTGAGACCAAGACATTCCAATCCAACCATAAGAATCTTGATCTATAGCCTTCCCCAAGTTGCTTTCCACTCAAATAATCTTTCCACCATAGCCAAATCTGTGATAGAGAGTTGAGTGTTCGGGAGACTATCATTTGAAAGCACAAGAGCAAGGAGTTCATCATCATCACACCACATATTACCTTTTGGAGAGTGGTGTCTCCTAGATTGGTTAGGTGTCACTTGGGAGCCTCCAACAAGATTGTGAAGTTGAACCAAGGAGTTTGTAAGGGCAAGGAGATCGCCTACTTCATGAAGATCTACCCGAGTGAGGCAAGTCCTTCGTGGGCGATGGCCATGGTGGGATAGACAAGGTTGCTTCTTCGTGGACCTTTCGTGGGTGGAGCCCTCCGTGGACTCACGCAACCGTTACCCTTCGTGGGTTGAAGTCTCCATCAACGTGGATGTATGATAGCACAACCTATCGGAACCATGCCAAAAATCTTCGTGTCTACATTGCATTTGCCTTCTCCAAACCCTTCCCTTTACCTTCATATGCAATGTTTTACTTTCCATTGCTACACTCTTAGAATTGCATGTGTAGGTTGATTGCTTGACTTATGCTAAGTTTGCTAAACTCTGCCAACATTTGAAATTGAGAAAATGCTAGATTTTTATTTGGTCAAGTA